GCCGTCTATTGTCGTCCTCCGCAAAGTCTCGATGCACAGTGAAGCTCAGCCCGAGAGCGCACAACGAAGAGCGATCCCGCTGCACGTGGTTTCCTGCTTGACTTCCAACTTCCTACAGAAGTGGAGACCGCGCCAGCTTGCCCGTAAGTCAGACTCGGAACATCGTCTGCTGGCGCTCAAGAGATCGCTTTTCGGCGGTAATACTGGAAACGAGCTGTTGGATGTCGGATCGCCGAGATGACTCGCTTCGCCCCCGAATCGCGAGCACCGATCGGGATCCATATCCATGCTATTGTAAAAGAGGGAATCTCTCTCCACAATCGAAGCGGATCAAAGCCTGTAGCGAATTCTGCATCCCGGTATCTCCGCCTATGGTCACCCACGAGCAGTAATAGAGAGGAAAAATATTCTAAGACAGCCCAGGCCATCTCGTCTGAAGCATGCCCGGCTATAATTCGATGTCTCCGATGAAGACCTAAAATCAGCGAAAATTTAGCCTTTTTTTTTTTTAAAGTCCCTTAGCGCAAAAATGCGCAGAAATTGGAGATGTGCTCCGAAGAGCGGAAGGCTTGAGGAGCTTTTAAAAAAAAAAAATTCCTGGGGTAAGTCGGGGCAAAGGTCTTAAATGAGCAATTTAGGTTTTCGCCTGTTGTCGGCCACGGAAGAATTTTCCCTCGGTCGTATCGACACAAATCGCAACTCTTCGGGTCGGTGCGTCCTTGTGGGGGGTCATCCGTCCCTAATTTTCATCGTATCGGGTAGTCTGAACCATTCAAGTTTGAGACATGGGCGAAAAACGACCGAATAATTTTGTCCACCTAGAAATCGATTTTTGACCACTGTGCGGCGCCTCGATAAGGTGGAAGCACCATGCCGTGTTCCTCATCGGTGCGAGAGACAGCTCTGATGAGCCGGATTGAGAAGCGAAGTTCCAAAGGCGAGAACCTCTAGAGGTCTATGAGTCGGGAGCAATATGGATGCATTCGGGAGACGCTTACGAGCTTGGAGAGCCACCACCGGCGGTCACAGACTCCACCGGGATCCAGGGAGTCCTTGTGCTGCATTCAAGATCGGGGCTTACGACAATCGGACGATCTTGAATACTAGCATCTGGAAACGAGAAAGTCCCAGCCCTCGAAATATCTTAGTTAGTACTCGAGTACCACTGATGGTGAGAATCGATCTTAGGACGACGATAAGCAAGCTCGATTGTTGGTTTCCGGGCTCATTGCTTCCAGGTGAGGGTAACGACCTCCCTGACTTCCATTTTCGAACAATAGCTAGAAGAGTACTCGAGAGAATTCCTCGATAAGCCTCCGCATTCAGACGGGCACAATGCAGCAGGAAGTATGACTCGAACTCTGAGTCTGGATTCCAGAAGAATCACGAGGGATTAGGTCGACGCATGTGAGTGGTAAATCACGGCTGGCCTCTCCAACGAGATTTCCAGATTTTTAGCAATTCACAATGTACATATAATTTCTGATAACTTTTTAGCTCATCTCGTTCCGTCTCCGGGAGAAGCCAGGGAATCCCGCAAGCGGTATCGAGCCTCCTCTGTCGCTTGATCTCCTCGATGTCGCCGTCTCCTTATTGACTGATCACTGATCACTCAATAGCCATCATCGATCCGAACGACCAATCGGCAGCGGCAGTTGCTGCGGCGGCAGCGGAGTCGAGTCAGTATCTTAGATTCCCGGCTGGTGAGCGAGGAATTTTCTGGACTCAACACAATGAAGTACCGGTAGTGCCGATCCCTACGCCGCCGCGCTGCAGAGAGCAATATCACCTCAGTTTCGAAAGCTTCAGAATCTCTGGTATGTCGCAGTCGTGCTGTGAAAGGTTCTGATCGCTCACACGCCAAATACCTGAAACGTTCGTTTGAAGCTTGTAAACACACAAAAAAAGAGACTCCCGAAGTGTTACGGAGGCAAACGACCTTGGACTGCGCGGGAATTTTTGAGAATCATCGCCGCCGCATCATCGCAGCTCTTCAGCTGAACCGTAAAACACGCCAGCTGTTGTGTTGAGCGATCCCGATCTCGGACCACAACCCCGAAGACTGTCGAATGTGATGAGAGTCCTGCAGAGAGGTTCCCAGCGCATCGACAGAACAAGACAGAGGCCTCCTCCGCGATTACCACCCGTTCGAAATGTCTGAAATTTCTCTCGATGTGTTATGCAATTTGTAACTCCTAGCGGGCTGGCTGGCTGGCCGATCGGTCGACTCGCTGTTCGGCTGCCTGCATGGGGCCCAAAACATTCCAGAGATTTCTGCGATGCACACATTCTCGGGCCTCCCACAATCTGCTCTAGCTGAGGCGGCTCTGGAATCGACGCTCCCCACTCAGTCAGAACGGTGGTCGTCTTTGCTCACGATGTGAACGCGGGCTCCCCTCCAAGAAAAGCTCCCAAGGGATTCGTCCGATTCCCCAAAAAGTTCCGGCTCAGAGACTTACGGATTGTCCCGAGTGGAGCTGCCGAAAAGTGGAGCCGAGAGTCCCGTCCGCTGCCCCATCTTGCGAACTCGGGCCCAGAGAGTCAGAAATTCCCTATTTTCTTGAAGCCATCAGAAAATCGCAAATTTTCCGCCCGATTGCTCCAGAACGCCGACGCGATCACTAATTGACGATGCTATTAACATTCGATTGGACAAATCGAATTCACAGAAGTGAGCGGTTGAAGTATTCAAGCCGATGCCGGCAACACCGCGTACCGTCGGCCGAATCAGAGATTGTGATAAAATTCCTTAAGCCCATTCTTAGTCATCCAATGTGGGACACGAGTGGATTGTGGCAGCATTCAGCACGGTGGCCGCCGATCAGAAACAGAATGGAAAAGTAATCGATATTGTTATCCGATAAAACTTCCATAACATGGGTGACATAGTTTGATCCGAACCCCGTCGGTCGTCCCATCGAACGGATAAGTACGCTCTCCGACATGTGAACAGAATGCGAATTCTTCAATGATCTGACCCGGACGGTGAGCGTTTGGGCTTTCCGAAGCCGGCGCGACGCCGGGGATCGTCTTCATTCTTGAGCGGGATGAAATTTCCGCTTCAGCCGGTCGAGTTTTGCAGAAATCAAAACGAGACCGCGCAGTGAGTCGGAGGAGCCTTTGAGCTTTTTCCGGTCTTGGGCGATATGCTTTCGGGGCGATCAAGATGTGTGGGTGTCGCTCCGCGTCGTCGCGCGGAGAGAAAACCAAGCTCTGAAACAAAGATCTATGGATGCTTTCATCAGAACTCGCGGCGGTGAGCGTCCCGGCTCCAAGATGCTTGTATGAGGGCATTGCGATCGAAAACAAACATCATGAACTTCAGGAAACTTCCGCTGCTCGATCTAAGAACGGGAGCGCCACCACGGTGACGTGCCGCGGGCCGCAGAAGATCGTACCAACGAAGATCATCGATGATCAAGCCTCGGATTTCCAGAAGGACGAGGGAGGTGTGGCATGTCCGGTATACATAGCTCTCCTTCGTACGTATTATTTAGGTCTTCAGCGTCTCCCCGAGACATGTCCGCGTCCCCCCTAAGGCCTAGATCAGAGACAGCTGGAACCACATCAAGAATTTTCTCAGCTGACGCCTATTTCTGAATTCCTTCATACGCTCATGCCGGATTGGTCGCGGTCGCATGAGGAACGAGCATGCTGGTACTCTCACACTCATGCCTGGCCGATCTGTCGCGGATGCTCATGCCAGAGCGATACTGGAGCTGGTGCTCACGCCGGACTGGTACTGGGAGAGAAGGGACGCCACGAAGAAGAAGCATTCCCTTTGTTGTCATCGTTGTCATCATCATCTACAACCTTCTCGCCACCACGAAAAAGAAAGAGGGGAGCATCCAGTCGCAAGTGAGCGGGTGAGTGCGTCCGTGACGTCACGTCTTTGGAATTCAACATGGCGCCGGCTTTCAGTTGCCGCTGCTGCCACAGCATTCCCTGCCGCTGGTAGAGTAAGACTGACTGTTGTCTGTCTGTCGTCGTTGTCGTCGTTTTCGTCGACAGTCCTGCTGCTGCTGCTGCGACTATTCCGCTGGTGCCGCTCTACTGGTGTTAGTGCTGCTGTTGCTGCTTCTTGTGCTGGTGGTCGTGCTGCTGCTGCTGCTGCTATTACAATCGACGCTAAGGATACTATCATCACGTTAAATAAGAGCATCCAGTGTTCAACTCGACAGCGGTGTCTACGTACGCATGTGTGGATAGTGTGGATCGCCATCCTCTTCACGAAACCGGCAGCCGACTGGAATGCACTAGAAGAAAATCGAAGCCTAACTGTCCAAGTGGACTGGCGGCTCGAAGAGGACTGCCTCCGATTGAAGAAATTTGTTCCGTGCGGCAATCGTTCAAAGTGCTCTGTGCAGAAGGAATCCAGTGTCTTCTCGGAACAACGGAGTATCGAGCTCGATCGTCGTCGACGCTTGATGCTGGCTGCTGAAGTGATTCGCATGGCTTCGAACAGCCGTAGCAGTGTTGGCAGCCTAATCAAATAAAGTCCTGAATGTGGATTGAGGATGCCGAAGCGGCGGAGTTTGCCTTTACCCAACGGATGGGACGTGGGCCGCGACTTCGAGGGCAGAACCTACTTCATTGACCACGTCAATCGAGCGACGACATGGGTCGATCCCCGAGACCGGTACGTGTTAGGTATTCGTTACCAGCATGCAGTTCCTAGTGGACAATAGAGCCTCTCGGGAGGTAGTCGAATACTTTCAAGAATCTTTCGCTTCTGCTGCCGCGGCGGCAACAGTCGGATCTTCGTCAGTCGATCGGGCGATCAAGTTTCTTTCGAATACGTGATTCAAACCACGCTGGTCCCATCATCCTTTTTTCTCAAATTCGGAACATGATGCTCCCTTTTCGGTCTCTTGGAGAGACCCTGCGATCCTCGAGCTCTGCGGGACTGTCGAGTCAGACGATTAAGGCGAAACTTTCCGAGCGGGCGCCTTCCCCCGGCAGTCGAGAATCTTGCACGCCTGGAATGCAACAGGTTGTTTATGCTCAAGAGGAACGAGAAACCGCTCTTCCCTCTGCGGCGAGGTAGGCGATGGAAGCTCTCCCCGGGAGAATGCGCCTCGATCTTCGTTTCCTTATGGGAGGCTTGGGGTTAGAGCCCGAGATCGGTGGGATCCGAACCTCATGAAATCATCCCAAAACCCTACGAAGCCGCCTTGCTGCTCCGTTCATCTACCTATTCGTTCCCTGTCCTTCCCGGCTGCTCGTTGGCGACTCGTTGCTGCCTCGCTGGTTCGCCTGCCTCCTTGCCTGGATAGATCTTCGTGTGGACGTCGATGGCCTGGTTCTTGTGTGATGTTGCTCCCGCGTTTCTTCCCTGCGGATTACGCACACGCGCTACACACACACACGCAGCTTATACTGTGCCACTGTTACGGCCAATATACGTGATGATCAGATGATGAATAAAATCGCCTTCGTCGACGTCTATCGCTAGATTCCGGATCGCCTTGCTTACTCAGCTCATGCGAGATCAGCCCATTCCTACCCTTCCGGGCGAACTCGGGCTTTCGGGAATCGTAGCATCATTCTCTTCAATTGGGAGGAATTTCACGGAAGCTGTCGGTTATCGCGATCGCGACGCATCTCACGACCACTTTAGGATCGAGATCGATTCAGAGCTGAGCGGTATACCGGAGCAATTGTGTCATTGTTATCGATCTGCCGCGGCAGCAATCACGATGAGTCGCCGAGGGGAGCATCCCACTCATCTGGAGACGGATGAATTCAGTCCTGAGTCCTGAGCTTAAATGGAGAGCTGTCACATCGATAAATTGCACACGACAAGAAATCTCTAGGAAGCGGAGTCATCTGAATACCGGATTTTCCTGAGGCTTCCGTGGGAATTTTGGATCAACGAGCGGATCGCGAGTCAGCGTACCGGAGTACTCGCGGTTTGTGAGGAGATGAGGAACCTTGGAAGAATCGGCGTCGAGAACGACCAGATTCTATGGATTTTCACGGGAATGAGCCGCGCATTAGAGATCGATATCGCCCGTAGTTTTCTTGTGACAGACCCGTCGCCGAAGACTCGTTTTGGATCGAGGGCGAGACCTAGAGCTCCCTGAAGCGTCAGCTCGACTGCGGGACTTGCGGGAAGACTCGGGCTCAAACCTCGCTCGGTGTCCCGCCGACTGTCGCACTGGAGCCATGTTACAGAAGCTCTGCTGGCATCTATTGCGGCTGGGGTATTATCAGTGAGGGAAATATTACTTTTTCTATTGTGATTATTATGGCCGCCTGCGTTCAGTGTGCGTCGATGCGAGACGCGACGCCTCACCCTTCCGGCATGACATCCTGCTTCCAAAATTCTGTCCGTGTGATGACCGTCCTATTCCCCCTCCGTGACATCTTTACCGTCTGGTGCTCTGTGCTTTGCATGAGGGTCCTTCGGTCCACCACCGGAATGGTTCGGGACGGCTTGCTCAGTCAGACTGAATTCGAGAAAATATTTCCTTTCGCAAGAATCGGGAGCTGGCATATCTAGGAGAAATTCCATCATATTTCTGCCGTTTTCGTTTAGCGTAGCAGATTGAGAATCCTTAGCGGTAATGAATTCGTTCAGTCTGTGACGGCGATTGCGAGAACTGCCTCGTTCGTTCGTTTCTGTATACGTTCGAGGAGTCTTGGCGCTTCGACGACCTTGCATTCCTTACTGGCGTGGAATTCCACCGCAACAACAGTCTACGGTCGCCGGCTCTCACTCTCTCTCTAACTGACTGACGGACTGGATTGTTCCGCTTGCCTCGCAGTCACCGAACGAATGAGCGGACGGACAATCTGAGGGCTCGACAACGTTTTGTCGATCATGCAACTAGCTCATAGCAAATGATCCTTGGCTAAATGCTGTTCTGTTAAGCCAGCCAGCGTCGTGACGAGCCGTCGGAACAGTCGACATGGGGCACTATTGAGTGTAGAAACACCATTCATGGTGGGGCTCGGGCCCGCGACTCGCCTTCATTGCCCCAAAAAAAAACCTTGTTCCGCTCCTACATACGAATGATCCGGTCACACATTGAGGTGCAAAGCCGCGATTTATGCATTCAGTCCACGGTGCGAGCGGTCGACCGATTGGCCTGAGCTCGAAAGTTCTTCTTGTCACCGAAGAAGCGTCTGAGGAATTTCTTGGGCACCCCGGGAATTAAAATCATCCATGCATGTTCACCTGGCATGACTCACCCGAGATCTCCGAATCCATGTACCATTCGATTTCCTCATTGGATTCCCCGGAACCGTACCTACCACGGAAGCCCGAGGCGAGCAAGATATCATTCGGAGGAAGTCAATGATCGAAAGCAGTCATAAGTGCTCTATGTGCAGCGAGTTCATAGGAGAAAGGAAACACGCAGATCAGCCCCTCAACGTTCCGATAGTCGAACGGCGAGAAGAACATTTGCGAAAAATGCGTCAGCTGATTGATAATAATCGACAACTTCTAAAAGGAGCATTCGACAAACCATCACAATCGTTGGCCGACTGCAACGCAAAGCTCGGCGGAACCGTCACCGATTTCGACGAAGAGCCCCGGAGAACTACGAACATACGAACCGCAAGAAGGACTACCGCGACCACGAATGCGCTGTCGATAGTTTCGCAGTTCGTTTTCTGCTGAGTCATTCTCGGCGGCAATCAACAGATCGATCCGAAGTGGATGCTGGTTTGTCGTTTGTCCCATCGTTGTGTTGGTAACACTAGAAGTCCTACTAAGTCATTTCTGGCTGACCACAAGTCTCAAAACACGAGTTCACCAAGACACCCTTAGGATCCCGCATCGATTCTGGTCAGTCGACGAAGGTCAGCCGAATGTTGTGCGAGCATTCACATATGCGGCGAACGCTCTCGGAAGAGATCATTACATGAGACATATGCTTCGGAGCTCCGCGAAGAGCCTCCATGTGCGCAAAGGCGAGCGTACGGTGAGACGATTCGTTGATGATCCTGTGGAGCCGATCCTCTCCGATCGAAACCCGACCGCGTGATTCGGAATCAACTCCTTAATTAGTCGAATTGGATGTTCAAATATCTTGTGCTTCGTACGCTCCCTTAAGCCGGGCTGTGGGAATACTGCTCATGGAGTGAAGCGCGAAGACTGCGGGCGCGCACGCCGAATCGAATGCTTGACGTTTCAGAATTTTCCTTTCGCATACTTGACGGTCCGGGCTTTGTCGGCGACTATTTGTCCCTTCCCTCGGCTTCTTCAGCCTCGAGTTCCTTCTCGCTCGATGGCTGGACGCTAGCTTGCCTGCCAGCCAGCCAGCCCGACTGACTACCCGGCTGGTGTTCGCGCTTTCGGCCAATCTGTAGCATTCCTATGTAATCGGTCGATGCATTTTCCTCTTCTTCTTCTCTGCGTCGATACCTTCTTGAGCCAGTCAATCAGCCGGTCGGTCGGTCGGTCGATCGGTCGCTCAGACCGACGGTCGATCGACCGCTCGGCTAGGCAGCGAGCCCACCTACAGATGTGGATTCGGTTCGCTGAGGAGCGGTGCTCGACATTCGAGACGGTCTGGGACAATGTGCGTCACTATGTATCATGTGAGTGCACACCAATCTACAGGAACCCTCTGAATGTCTTTTGTTTCCCCTCCTCTCGTCATCGAGTCTGCATAGCGTAACTGACCTCCATTGAATTATCTCTCATTACGAATTTGGAGTCGGTTAGGAGAGAATCGTCAACCAGAAGATAAACCCAAGACCCATCGGGGAATCGCGACATATTTTCTGAGTTAAACTGTGCTGGAATTCTGGATCCCCCTCAGGCCCATTGGAGGAAAAGAAAAAAGATTTATATTAAGGATACGTGCGTGTATGTTTTCGGACGGCAGAGCTGTCTCGATGGCGACCAGGTCTTGCGTTAACCCACATGACTACGTCTCAGGATTGCGACTGCATTCCACAGATAACAAGTTGCCTGCTTTCTTGCTTGCTCCCGTACTGCTTAGCAGACAGACACTGGCTCGGCGACTCGCTGTCCGTCGGCTAGTCAGTCGGACAGCCGGTCCGTCGGCCAAGATCATCGTCGTCGTCGACGCAGCCATCGACACAATCAACTTTGCCTTTTCCTTATCTCTGCGGAGTGTCAACATTGGATGAACTCTGATTGCAGCGAACCGCAACAAAATATTTCAATAGCCCCGACAGGATGCGGCGCGCTTGTGAGTCGGTGCGAAACTGCTCCGCGAAAAAAGTGAGCGGAGCGGCATCCGATCGGCGACGAGCGCGAGGAAGAAATATTCGTGATCTCAGCCATCGAAGCGCTTAATCCTTTTCTTTATCCTCTGGAAGCGAGATCGATGTGAAATTCGCGGGCAGAATGTTGATCCCGAATGGAATGCGAGACAAAGTCTCCTATCGACGTAGATAGAACAATGAATGCCGCTCCTATCAAGATCGATTCGGACAACGTTCTCGCGTCAACTCTTCTGACAATGTCAACGCTCATGCTGAGCGAGGCAGCGACTGTCACGTAGACGGCGAAAACGTCGCGCACAACCGCTCTCACCGTCGATGTCGGTATCTCGTTTTTGTCGATTTTTTCAATCATCATCATTCCATGAGGTATTCGATACCGATCGTGTCATCGAGCGTGGGCCAGCTCCGTATCTTTTGGATTCGCCTCCA